TGGAATAAAAAAAAGACCCCGGAATAGCGCCTCCATCCTGAGAAAGAAGGAAAGTAGGTGAGATTTCCATACCAGATTTCAAGCTGTATTACCAAAGCCACTGTTCTCAAAACTGCCTGGGTACTGGCACAAGGAACAGACATATAGATCAAATGGGAATAGAATAGAGAACCCAGAAATCGGGCCGGAACCAATATGCTCAATTTATTATTTGACAAAGCGAGGGAAAGAACATTCCAATGGGAGCCAAGATAGTCTCTTCAATTAAATGGTGTTGGGGAAAATTGGACAGATATATGCAAGAAAATAAAACTAGACCCCCAACTTACGCCATACACAAAAATAAAACTCAAAATGGATAAAGGACTTAAATGTACGACAGGAAACCATAAAAATTCTAGAAGAATCCAAAGGCAACAAAATTCTCAGACAATATGCCGAAGCAATTTCTTCACTGATACAGCTCTAGGGCAGTTGAAACTAAAGAGGAAAAATGAACAAATGGGACTACATCAAAATAAAAAGCTTTCTGCACAGCAAAAGAAACCCATCAACAAAACAACAAGAAAAACCCCTGCGTGGGAAAACATATTTGCCAGTGTCATATCTGATAAGGGCCTAATCTCCAAAATTTATAGGGAACTCATACAACTTAACAAAAGGAAGATAAACAATCCAATCAAAAAATGGGAAAAGGACCTAAATAGACACCTTTCAAAAGAGGACATTCAGAAAGCCAAGAGACATATGAAAACATGCTCAAAGTCACTAATCATCTGAGAAATGCAAATCAAAACAACAATGAGGTACCATCTCACACCTGTCAGATTGGCTAGCATCAACAAATCAACAAACGACAAGTGCTGGAGAGGATGTGGAGAAAAAGGAACACTCGTGCACTGCTGGTGGGAATGCAGACTGGTGCAGCCACTATGGAAGACAGTATGGAGTTTCCTCAAAAAACAAAAAATGGAACTCCCATTTGACCCTGTGACCCCACTTCTAGGAATATATCCCAAGAAACCAGAAACACCAATCAGAAAGGATATATGCACCACTATGTTCATAGCAGCACAATTCACCATAGCTAAGTTCTGGAAACAGCCTAAGTGCCCATCAGTAGATGAATGGATTAGAAACAGGTGGTACATCTACACGATGGAATACTATGCTGCTGTAAAAAAGAAGGAACTCTTACCATTTGCAACAGCATGGATGTAACTGGAGTGTACTATGCTAAGTGAAATAAGCCGGTCAATGAAGGAAAGATACCACATGATCTCACTCACTTATGGATAAAAAAGACCATTATAAACTTATAAACAAAAATAGATACAGAGGCAGAGCTGCCTCTAACAAACTGTCAAACTACAGCGGGAAGGCTGGGGAGGGTTGGGGGACAGGAGGGGGCGGTAAGAGATCAAGCGAAAAACTTGTATGCATGCATATAAGCATAACCAATGGACATAAGACACTGGGTGGTAGGGGGGCCAGGGGATTGTCAAGGGCGGGGGAAAAAAGGACACATATGTAATACCCTTTGTAATACTTTAAGCAATAAAAAAATTTAAAAAAAAAAAAGAATTATTGCTCACAGTAGTAAGAAAAAGAAAGAAAATAAAAGTCCTCAGGAGTTGGCTGCACCACCGCCGAAAAGTGAAAGTAATGCAGCATTAGTCATTAATCAGGCGTTAGCAGCTGAGTCTCCACCATCTACCTGAGGACACAAAGACCTGCTAATGCTCAATACCTTCAAGGGTTATATATATTATATATAATTATATATGTTATTAATTTTATATATTAATACAGAATTAATTTATGCAGATTATAAATTAATTCCTTATCATTGGAATGCTATAGCTAAGGCAGTATTAGCCCCAGGGCAATATCTGCAATTTAAATCCTGGTGGTAGGAAGAAGCCAGGAGAGTGGCGAAACTAGAAGAGGATGTTCTGCCAGGAAAAGGCGGGAGCCTGCAAGCAGGCCATGTCAGAACAAAGTCTTGCACGCAAGACTTATTGTTCAGAGGCAGAACAATAAGTCTTGCACTCAAGACTTACTGTTCAGAGGCAGAACAATAAGTCTTGCATGCAAGACTTACTGTTCAGAGACAGAACAATAAGTCTGGCACGCAAGACTTATTGTTCAGGGGCAGAACTTTCCTTGAGGTGATAAATAGTCCATGAGAGCATGGAAAGTTTAAGGGAGGGTGCACTGCTACAGGTGGAAAGAGTCTTTGTATAACATAGGAAATTAATAGTGTAATGTTATCACTTAGCTCAGATGGTCTCATAAGCATGCCTGTTAATCATTGTCGCTTGCTGTGCTCACCCCCAATAAAAGCCAGAAGGGATCAGAGGGTTTTTGCTACATGCCTGAGCGAGCGGTAGCCGTCTGCTCTACTTCATCCTACATGCCAAGCTTGCCCCAGTGTCTCCGTTCACAAACAACATCAACAATAAACAGCAAACACAAATCTATCAACAAGTGAATCTAAAAATCAAGTGAATAAAAATTCTGATGAACAGAGTAAACTGGTGAATATAATAGTACCAGGAGCATGGAAAGGGGGTGGAGTGACAGTTCTTGGGGGGAAAGGGGTGTGGGGGTGCAGGAAGAGACTGGACAAAAATCTTACACCTATGGATGAGGACAGTGGGAGGGGTAAGGGCAGAGGGTGGGGTGGGAACTGGGTGGAGGAGAGCTATGGGGGGAAAAAAGAGGAACACCTGTAATAATCTGAACAATAAAGATTTAATTTTAAAAAAAATAAGAGAAAGTTCTCTTTTTGAAAACAGTGCTAATACCAATTATTCCTGAGCCAGGTCTTTAAACAATGTCATCCATCAATTTCATGGGTAATTAATTCTTGTAACATTTTGAAGTCAGTGAGCCAAAAAATTGTTCCTGTTTTCCACATAGCTCAAAGGGTGGAGCCTCCAAACCACTAGGAGAAGAAGGAAGTTAAAAGAGGTTAAATACTGGGGCCAGCCTCCCCTGGCCAGCTGAGCGGTCTGGCTTCGCAGTCAACATGAAGGCTCTCCTGACTCTGGGGCTTCTCCTCCTCTCTGTCGCCGTCCGGGCCAAGGTCTATGAGAGGTGTGACCTGGCCAGAACCTTGAAAAGACTTGGAATGGATGGCTACAGTGGAGTGAGCCTGGCAAACTGTAAGTTACCTCTCCCTACTTCCAAATAGCCAGCCAGGTGTGCAACAGACTAATAGAGGATGAATAATGAGAAAGGGGCTTTGCGTGAATGCACTTCTTTAAAAAAAAAGTTATTTGAGGATTTTTATACTTAAAATGGTTTAAAAAAATATATCAACTACTTTCTTTATAAACAGAAATGCCAGATGAAGGAATGAGGGCACGGGAGTGCAAAATTGTGCACCATCCTAAGTAAACCACCACCCGTTGTACTCTGCAAGTGCTACCAAGCTTGCCACTTGCCTCAGACTCAGTGGCACATGTAGGCTGACTGATATATTTGAGCATGTGCTTGACTCCAGCTCTTTTCCGTGTGGAACCTGGGCTCTGTGAGCCTAGAATAATGCAGTGTTTTTCTCTTTTTTAATTCCCCTGCATGACATGAGGCTTTTCATAGCAAAGTTTTTTTATTGTTGTTTTTTTAATTATGTTGAAATCTCAATACAGGGGCAGTAGGAACCTATTTCCTCTCAATCACTGTTTATGTCAGGATCCCTGAAATGCAGCATGAAATGCTATCTTATTATTCTTTCTCACTCTAGTTGATTAACTGTTTTCATTTTCTTCTATGCAATCCAAGATGTGCCTGTGTAAAAGTTACTTTGTATTTTAGCCCATTTTTGTCAATGTTATCAATGTATGTTTAGGTTGAATCGAACACTTCCTCTTAATAACTATTTTTGAATGAATGAATAGTTTGATGGATATATGGATGGATGGACTATGAAATAGTCTTTCCTCTTCTACATCTTTGTCCTCATGAAGTAAGTCATTAGAAAATAAAATTAGCTATATAGAACTGATTATGGTATGCAGTATGTGTCATATGGTATTGCTATTTATTACTAAAAATATGTTATTTTCAGGGATGTGTTTGGCCAAATGGGAAAGTAGTTACAACACACGAGCTACAAACAACAATCCTGGAGACAAAAGCACGGATTATGGGATATTCCAGATCAATAGCCGCTACTGGTGTAATGATGGCAAAACCCCAGGAGCAGTTAATGCCTGTGGTATACCCTGCAACGGTAAGAGAAAATAACGTTTATGTGATGGCACAGGACCCATCTGCTTATGCTTACAAGAATAGAGATTCAATACAAACGAAAGGGGGCGTGGGCGGGGAGTGGTTGGGGAAAAAGAAATAAAAAGGTTTTGAAAAATTCAACAGGGACCTAAAAGATCGCCATCTCACCCTGGCTGGTTGGCTCAGTTGGTTGGAGCATCATCCCGTACAACAAAAGGTTTCAGGTTCGAGTCCTTGTCAGGGCACATACCTAGGTTGTGGGTTCAATCCCTCGTTGGGGTGCGTATGGGAGGCAACCAATTAATGTCTCTCTCTATCTCTCTCTCTTTCTCTCCCTCTCCCTCTCCCTCTCCCTCTCCCTCTCGCTCTCCTTCTTACTTTAAAAAAAAAAAAAAATACATATCCTCAGGTGAGGATTTAAAAAAAAAGAGGTGACTCTGACTGTAAAAAATAAAATAAAATCATAAAAATGAAAATATTGGAGAAGTACTATAAAATTGATATCGTTAAATTTCTAAATGTGAAAATTCTAATAGAAAAGATTATTCTTAGAATATTCATTTGTATCCAGTTAATTTATTTAAAAAATATTTTGTATTCTATAATAATCTGTGGTCACTGAATAAAAATTCTTACTACCAAGAGATTTATGACTACTAGTAACTTTTGGTTTATATTGTTCTAGATAGAATACATATCAATCATGTCTGTGAACATAAAGCTATGTCATGTATAAATATACCTACATATAAACATGTAATAATGTGTGGTGTTCTTTATGGTTATTTTTTATTATTATTACTGATTTTGGAGAGAGAGGAAGGGAGAGGGAGAAACATCAATGTGAGAAACATGGATTGGCTGCCTCCTGCACGCCCCTTACTGGGGATTAAGCCCACAACCTGGGTATCTACCCTGGCCAGGAATCCAACCGTGATCTCCTGGTTCATGGGTTGATGCTCAACCACTGAGCCCACCGGCCAGGCACAATGTGTGTTTTAAGAAAAATGAAATTGTACTATATATACTGCTTTACAATTTGTTCTTTATCACACAAAATTATTTATATGTTAACAAATACCAATCTTTATTTTATTAATTTTTTTATTTTATTTTTATTATTTTATTTTATTTTATTTTTGAGAAAAATGGATCTTTTTTCCATTTTTTTTTTTTGATAGAGGGGAGGGGAGAGAGAGAGAGAGAAACATCAATGAGAGAGAGACACATTGATTGGTTTCCTCCCACATGTGCCCAGACTGGATCCATGAATCGAGCCTGCAATCGAGGTACACGCCCTTGACTGTGAATCCAACCCTCGACCCTTCAGATCTGTGGGCCAGTGCTCTAACCACTGAGAAAAACTGGCCAAGGCTCTTATTTCTTTAGGGGAAATTTCTAGTCGTAGAATTGCTGATTAAAAATTACTAGGTTGGTTCCTCTTTTTCTTCTAATAGTGCCTATTACAAAGAGAACTATCTATCTATCACAGTAGTTGATAATTCCAGAACTTCCAATGACTTTGGTATCTGAGATTCCTCCCAACATTCACAGATGTATAACTTGTGGAAAAGAATTGTCGTGTCCATTCCTTAGCTTTAGACAATAAAATGGGCTAAACCTAAGCTTAAAATGAAATTTCTGTGAAAGTTGTCTTCATTCCTAACCACCTGTTTTTCAGATTTGCTTCAAGATGACATCACTAAAGCTGCAACCTGTGCCAAGAGGGTTGTCAAGGATCCACAAGGCATCAAAGCATGGTATGTGTAAGCTTAGGGGGGAAAGCTTTTTTGCCCTGTGTTAGGAGAGAGGTGAGAGAAGATTTTCAAGGACCACCATATGCTACTGAGAACTGAAAGTTGCAGCTTTAGATTTATGCTAAACAAAGTATCACTTAAAAGCAATCTATTTTAACATTTTAACGGATTCAGAATCTTTTCCTCTTATTCCTCCATTAATTTGGGAGGATTTCTAGAATTTTTAAGATTCTCCACACTCAACCAGTTCCTTGTCCTATTTTGAAATGTTTGGAATGAGGTAAATGTAGAATGCACTTTGCAGTGGCAGTTAGGAAATGCACGTGACTCTCGTGGTCAGCATATTATGCTGTAGCCAGGGCTTTGGGGAGAAGTGAAGTTGGGTGTACATATCTCCATTTAATAAATAGCAATACCTGGATCTATCAAAAGCCTGTATTTCATATAGTGTTAAAATAGTTTGTCCTCACAAAGGATTTGATGTATGTCTATCACAGTGAAGATACGCTTTAACCTTATCACCATGTGTTTCACCTTTCCCTACAGGGTGGCTTGGAGAAATCACTGTCAAAACAAAGATGTCACTCAGTATACCCGGGGCTGTGGAGTGTAACTGGACAGCTTTCCTTCTTCAGCTCCTTTTCTCTTATTTTCCTATTCAGGGAGTAGCAGTTGAGTAAAAGTTCACACCTTTTTCAAATAAATAATGTTTTTACAGAAGCAGGAGCAAAATACGGTCTTTCTTCTAAGAGGCCAATGTTGTCTAATGTGTTAATTATTGGGTAGTAAGTCTACAACATGTTTCAGTGTGCTGATAGAGCTACTGCTGGTGAAAATTTACCTAAATCTTGATTACCAAATACGTCTCCAATATATTCAGTTCTTAATCAAAGACTTCATCTTGAATGACACCAGTATTCCTCAATGTTTGATATATATGTAACAAAAGACTATCATAAAACACATTGACCTCAGGCAAAATCTCAGCTGTGTAGGCATTTGATGTGTTCATCTGTTCATGCGTCTCCCAAAACAGTAAAAGATAACCGTTCTTTGTTGGGCAATATCAAATTTACAAAAGAACAGAATGCCAAATAGCTGAAAATGGAGACGGCCTGGATTAAGAATATTGTTTTGATTAAGTGTGATCTTTGGTTTAAATGCTTTCTTAGAAATGTTACTTTTATACAGCTTTAAAAATGAACTCACAATTTATATATCCATCTACTTTAGTCCTTTAAAGAACTTTTTTATGCATCTTGCTGATCATGAAGGAATATCAAGAAGGATTAGACTAGCTGTTGCTGTTTCTTAATTTTATAAGCTTAGATTCCTGCATTATGACTAAAACTGGAGGCAAATGAGTTTGGAAGTATTGAAATAATTGCTAATTAACCACCAGTGTGAACTTACCATGTTGTTAAAAAAATAAACATTTTCATTAAAGGACTCATACCTTGTCTTTCTCTATTGTGAAAAGAAATGACTTAGCCCTCTTAACATTTCCTTATACCTCACCTGTACCCAAACAGGTTATATTGCTGGGGAATGAAAGACAACCCACAGGCATGCTGACAGATCTCACTTTAACTTCATAACCACACCTGGCCAGTGTGGCTCAGTGATTGAGCGTCAACTCATGAGCCAGGAGGTCAGGGTTCAATTCCCTGTCAGGGCTCATGCTTGGGTTATAGGCTTGATCCACAGTAGGGGGCATGCAGGAGGCAGCCAATCAGTGATTCTACTCATCATTGATGTTTCTCTCCCTCTCCCCCTGTCTGAAATGAATAAAAATACATTTAAATTCATTACCACAGATCTCACATGGGCCCTCCAATCTGCCAGGCATCTTAGGCACCTGTCTGCAATCCTTCTGGATTGGTGTCCCCACTCTCCAAAATGACTATTACTATTTTACTTCCCTTCCTCCTCCCTCAAAGCCGTAGCACAGGTGCCTGGCCACTCACCTTCTACCCATCTCTGCTCTCAGTATTGGCCGCATAGTACACTGAGAGAGTAGAAACAATCTCATATAAATTCTCCCCTGTCAGGGCCCACACTTCCCCTAGGTCCATTCGTCCTTCTTGCCCTGCTATCCGCAGGATGAAGGGCCTCTTCTCCTGCCAATGGCAGTGTCTCCACATGCAGTCTCCATCTCATCCCGCTCACTGCTCCAGGGTAGGCTGTTTCCTGCATCTGCGTCTCTCCCTCTTTGCAATTACCCCATCATTGTGCAAACTGCCCTAATAACCTCCATTACAAATGACTCTCTATTGAGCCTACATAGCCCTCCAACGACCGCATCATTCTCTGCTCCCTTTTGCAGCAACACGTCTGCGATTAGATATCTATACTCACTAGTTCCACTTCTCACCTCCCATTCTCTTTTTGCTGTCCTGATTGGATGCTTTTTGCTTCCTCATATGCCAAATTGCTGATTTGAATCTCAGTGTCCTCTACTCTACTATTTTTAAAAATACATATTTTATTGATTTTTTACAGAGAGGAAAGGAGAGAAATAGAGAGTTAGAAACATTGATGAGAGAGAAACATCTGATCAGCTGCCTTCTGCACAACCCCTACTGGGGATGTGCCTGCAATCAAGGTACAAGCCGTTGACTGGAATCGAACCTGGGACCCTTCAGTCCACAGGCCAATGCTCTATCTACTGAGCCAAACCTGCGAGGGCTCTACTCTACTATTGATTCCCTGAAATTATTCTTCATTTCAGGTAGTGTATGCTTCATTTTGGTTGGTCCTTTTTTAACTCATTGATGTTCTCTTGAAGTTTCTTGAAGTTGCCACTAAGTTCCTTGATGTTGTTACTACGTTCCTTGAGCATCCTTATAACCATTGTTTTGAACTCTGTACCTGATCATTTGCTTGCTTCCATTCCATTTAGTTCTTTTTCTGGAGATCTCTTCTGTTCTTTCTTTTGTGGCATGTTTCTTTGTCTCCGAATTTTTGCTGTTTCCCTGTGTTTGTTTCTATGTATTAGGTAAAGCTGCTATGTCTTCCTGTCATTGGAACCCTGGGCTGAGGGTGGTGTGGGGCTAGGACCCCTTGCTCCTCACGTTGGTGCATTTTTTTCCACAGCCAAGATATCCCGCCCAGCAGGCATGGCTCACTGGTTGAGCTTAGACCTATGAACTAGGACAGTGGTTCTCAACCTTGTGTTGTGTCAGATTTACTACTTCTTATTTTATCTGAATAGAGTAATAACTAGAGGCCCGGTGCATGAAATTCATGCACTGGAGGGGATTCCCTCAACCCAGCCTGCCCCCTTTCCCAGACTGGGAGCCCTTAGGGGATGTCCTACTCTGTGGGGAGCAGGCCTAAGCCGCAGTCTGGCCTCCCTCTGGGGGAGGTCAGAGGGACTTTGAAAGGCAATACAGTGTTAGAAATATGCCAGATTAAAGATGTATGGGTTGCTTTTTTTTCCCCCATTTTGAAATTCAATTAGTTAATTTATTTTTATTAAAGCATAGTTGACATACAATATTATATTAGTTTCAGGTGCACAACATAGTGACTCAACATTTATATACCTTATGACATTGATAGCAAACCTATGACATGCATCTCAGAGGTGACACACAAACTCATTTTTTTTGGTTGATTTTTCTTTGTTAAATGGCATTTAAATACATAAACTAAATATCAAAAATATGTCTTTGTTTTACTATGGTTGCAAATATCAAAACATTTCTATATGTGACACGGCACCAGAGTGAAGTTAGGGTTTTTCAAAATGCTGACATGCCGAGATCAAAAGGTTCATCATCACTGCCTTATGATGTGATCACCACAATAATTCTAGTTACTGCACTGTTATTAAAATATTATTAACTATATTCCCTATGCTATACATAACATCCCCATGACTTATTAATTTTATAACTGCAAGTTTGTATCTGTTGTTTCCCTTCACCTTCTTCACCCAACCTCCACCTCTCATCTACCTCCCCTCTGGCAACCATCAGTTGTTCTCTGTATCTATGAGTCTGTTTCAGTTTGGTTTTGTTAATTTGTTTTATCTTTTCAGATTCCACCCATAAGTAAAATCATGCAGTATTTGGCTTTCTCTGTTAGACTTATTTCACTTAGCATAATATCCTCTAGGTCTTCCATGTTGTTGCAAATTGGAAGATTACATTCTTTTTTATGGCTGAGTAATATATGCATATGTAATATATCACATTTTCTTTATCCATTCATCTGTAAATAATGCTGCAATGAACATAGTGGTTACATATCTTTTCGAATGAGTGTTTTGTTGTCTTCAGATAAACACCCAGAAGTGGAATTGCTGGGTCATATGGTAGTTCTATTTTTGTTTTGTTGAGGAATCTCCATAGTGTTTTCCATAATGACTACACCAATTTACAATTCCACCAACAGTGTACAAGATGCCTTCTTTCCACATTGTTGTCAACACTTGTTTGTTGAATTTTTGATACTCGTCCTTTTGATGGGTGTGAGATTCAAGCTTGTTTAACTCTTCTCACGGGAAAGAACCAAAGAAGGAAGGTTGAAAATATGGGGCAGATTGGGGGTGGTTGCTGGGGCAAAATCCTTGAAAAGGCAAAAAGGAATGAGCTGAAGAACACAGACTGAAGGACTGATTTAAACTGGAAAAAGACTTCCTCTGATTGAGAAGTACAGCCCTATCCGGTTTGGCTCAGTGGATAGGACGTCAGCCTGTGGACCATAGGGTCCTGAGTTCGATTCTGATTCGGATCAAGGGCATGTACCTTGGTTGCAGGTTCCTTCCTCCCCAGCCCTGGGTGCAGGTGTTTCACTCACATGGACATTTCTCTGTCTTTCCCTCTCTCTTCCACGTTCCCTACAAATCAATGAATCTTCGGGGAGGATTAACCACAACCACCAAGAAAGAAGTACAGATGGCCTTGGCCCCTGTGCTGTGGTTAGAGCATCGGTTCTCAACCCTTTGGGGGCGAACGACCGTTTCACAGGGGTCGCCTAAGACCATCGGAAAACACATATATAATTACATATTGTTCTTGTGATTAATCACTATGCTTTAATTATGTTCAATTTTTAACAATGAAAATACATCCTGCATATCAGATATTTACATTATGATTCATAACAGTAGCAAAATTACAGTTATGAAGTAGCAACGAAAATAATTTTATGGTTGGGGGTCACCACAACATGAGGAACTGTATTAAAGGGTGGCGGCATCAGAAAGGTTGAGAACCACTGGGTTGGGTGTCAGCCTGCGCACCAGAGGATCACAGGTTCGATTCCCATTCGAGGGCACTGCATTCATCTGCACAGTATTTAGCGCCACAGAAAGGCAATGGGGTGGATGTCCAGTTATGCACCTTGGATTGCAAACCGAGTAGAAAAGGAAGAAGGAGATAAATGAGAAATAAGCGGTTCAAGCATGGAGTTCTGAATGGAGACAAAGAAAAGCTGTGCGTGGGCGAGATTTCAGGAACTTGATTTCAGAATTGGAACGCTTCGGCGATGACAGAGGATTGCCCCGGAAAGGCCTTTCTCAGCCACCACGCAGCTCAGGTGTCGGGGCGGGTGACAGGCAAACAGGAGACTCCGGCGTCCCTGAGGCCCCTGGAGACAAAAGGTCCCGCCCCCCGCGCGGCGCAGCACCCCGCGCGGGCCCGGTTGGCCAGGGATTGGCCTTATTTTTTTTACTTCTTTTTTTTTTTTCTTCTTTGTTTTTTTTTTTTTTT